GTTTGCCTCTATATGTATGCATTGTTTGATTGAATAGTTGTTGCTGTTTGCTGGTTAATATAATTATGTTGCGGTTAGATTGGTTTTCTTTGCAGTGGATATGTTTTCATTTATGCTTTGTTAATTTCTCTTACTAAATAATTAATTTGTAGAATAAAATTTGACACATTTTGCCATTGCGCAAACTGATTCTCTCGCTTTCACCTGCCACTTTTGACACCTTTGTCTCTTAATCTCTTATGTATGTGTGGGTGTAGGTGTAGGTGTTGATGTGTGTTTCTTGTGTGTATGTGTGGCATGTGTGGGTTAGTACAAGTAACTAAATATGATGGCTTAAAATTAGTTACCACACATGTGTGTCTTTTGATGATCTTTTGGTTTTCACTGCCCAGCCTATTAACTAAATTCGAATAAAATTAGTTTAATTTGTAATTTTAACATTGAAAATCAGTTTATTTTTTATGTTTTGTTTTGTTTTGTTTTGCTTTGTTGTTTTGCATTTGCATTTGCTTTTGCTTTTGCCTTTGTTTTGTTTTGTGGTTGTTGTTGTTGTTGTTTTTTAGTTTTGTTTTGCGTATAAATTTAACAGCTAATAAATTAAAATTATACTTTAATTTAAGCATAATTGTAATATAATATGTAAATCCATTGCTCGTTTTTTCCGCGCTCCAGAAAAAAGTCTTTTTAATCGCCGCAAAAGTGCTTAAAAGTTATTATTGTAATTCGAATTGTTCTTTTTCGCTAATTTGTAGGTCTTGTAAATATGGTAGTAGCATTAAGCATTTTCACTAGAAACCGAACGAAAGAAACCATAACAATTTTGGATACAGACTCGTACGAAAGAGGGCCTGGTCTCCCCAGCCTTGGCTAGTTCGCATTGTTTTAAAACTAATTTCGAATGGGGTATATAGGATATAGATGTGGATATAGAAATAGATATAGATATAGATAGAACGGAACGGAACGAAAGGGAAGGGAGGGGCTGGGCTGGGGTGGGGTGGGGGTGACAACTAGTTAATTAGTCCATAATCGTTTAAAGTGTAGTTTTAGTCGTAATCAATAAACAGAATCAATTTTGCACATCAGTCTAAACATATTCAAAAATCACAAATACAATTTCGATAACAATTACCATAATAGAAATAATAAAAAAAAGATTTATCGTATCAATATATCGCCGTGTCTATATATAATATATATGCATATGTATGTGTGTATACACATCTCTGAACAAACACAAACACAACTAACAAACGCCTCGTCTCGCTGCCGCCTAATTGTAGCGAGTAAAACATACAATATCGTATAATGCCTACTCAAACTGAATCATCGGTTTTCTGTTTTCCCGTGTCTTTCGAGTCGATTGTTTGTTGGTCTGTTTGTCTGCTGCTTGTCTCTTTCCTTTCCTTTCCTTTCATTTCCTCTTCTTTCCGATCCCTTCAATTTATGCTTAATTCTTTCTCTCTCTCTCTGTCGCTCTGTCTCTCTCTCTCTTGTGTTTCCGCTCATTTGCTGCCCCGTTTTTGGTCATGCTCATGCACAATTACTTGTAAATGGCTTAAAATTAACTGCATTCGAAATTGTGGCTTTCCTTAGCTTTCCTTTTCTTTTCTTTGCTTTGCTTTACTTTAATTTCTTATATTTGCTTGCTTCTTGTATTTTCTGTATGCTTCTTGCATGCATTTCGGTTAATTATTTATTTATTTTGTATTCTTGTTTTTTTTTTGTTGGTTTTTTTGTTTTTTGTTTGTTTTTAGTTTATTTTGTCTTCATTTTGACTAAGCTTAGAATTAATTGCTGTTCTGTTCTTACTTGTGCGGGGTCGCCGCCGCCCCCAGGGACGGGGGGGCTGGCTTCCCCGTTCGAAAACGGTTCAACATAAAAGTTCTTGTGTTTGATTTGCCTTTGCATTTAAAACTTAATCAAAAAAATATCGTAATTAATAAGAATCAATGAATAAATATAACGCGTATGTGTGGGTTGGTCTTTCTGTGAGTGTGGTCCGTCTTGGTGTGTGTGTGTGTGTGTGTGTGGGCATAAGTGTGAGTGTGAGTGTGAGTGTATTTAATGTATGATTTTTCCAGACAGTATTCATATAAGAACTGTTCTTTTGTTTCTGATTTTCTCTTGATATATTGCTTATGATTTAACATTTGACGTTTTCCATTCCTTTCCATTCCGCTTGCGGCTGCTGCTCCTGTCCGTTGTTCTCCTCCTGCGATTTCCAATGCCGCTGCCGCTGCCGCTGCTGTTCTTGTTGTTGCTGCTTGATTGCTGGGTTGATTGTTGGTTGGTTGGTTGGTTGATTGGTTGGTTGGTTGTTGTTGTTGTTGTTGTTGTTGCATGTTGCTTGTTTCACTTAGTGAATGGGTGTTTTAACAATTGCACTGGGCGCAATGTAGTGATATCCGGGTATGGGCAGACCAGCAGTCTCCATTGATATCCTAGAACGCAGAAAAATAGATTATTTAGTAGGGCTTTGATTCAAGGAATTCCATTTCTGGTTAGGGACACTTCCACAACCCCACCCCCTGCCATTATATATCTGAGAGGAGCTCCCATCTGGACAGACAGACACGCACGCACACACACACACATGTATGTAGTTTTAGTATTCATTTTTCACTTTATTACAAACTCATGTAGTTTCCATCATTGATTTCATTTTGCATATAAATAGATCGAGTTTACTGCGGCCGATCTCCTCCATTGCGAGAAGGAGGAGGAGGAGCTGCAGGTAAAGCTTTCTATATATGTATGTATGTATTAGCTATACAGCTGTGTGTCTCTATGTAGGTATATGTTCTCGTAGTAGAAGTCAAGAATTACTATTATTACATTCAAATATAAGGGGAGTTTTCGTGGCTTTCGTGCCGTTCCAATGTCTCTGGACAAACTCTCGTTCTAAATGGTTTTCGTATAAGTAGGTTTGCATATATGTATGTATGTTTTGTATGTTTGTATGTTCGCATGTATGATGTATTTATAATTAGGTTTTATATATGTAATTTGGTTATAAAATCGTAAGCCCGCTTAGCTTAAGGTGTTACATATGGTGTGTCCTTTGTGTCTTACGTCTACTGGTAATAATAATAATAATAATTATAATAATATGAAAAAAAAAATCATAAATTTATGGTATACGCTTAACAACTACAGTTATGTCGTGTACATTAAGGGTAGAGAAATTTCAATTTCCAAATACTTTCAACATCATTTTCGACCAATTCAAAAACAGTTTTTTGTTTGTTTTCTTTTTTTTTTTTTCTTTTTACAAATAATAACAATCGCATAAATACATAAAAAATCAGGGGGATTTCCATTTCGGGAGGGGGGATACGTGGAATAAAAAATATATAGTGGGTAAAACAATTGAAGACTTCAAGTCTAATACATAATAACTTTTTTCTTTCTCATTTCATCATCTTTATCTTCAACTTCATCTCCATCTTCATCTTCATCTCCATCTTCATTTTCAACTCAATTCTTCTTCAGTTGGCCCTTCTCTGTTCTTTCTCTCTGTGTATTTTGTTCTCTATTCAAATAGTTTGGTTTTTGTACGCTCATTGCGTGGATTGTGTCAATTAGAGCGAATTGGTCCATAAAGGTCGTTGGCCCCGCCTCCCCCCCCTCCCGTGCCGAGATTTGGCACCGGCGGCGGGGGCTCAACGAATTGGAATTTTTGTTTTGTTCACTTCTTATAGAAGGTTCTTTAATTTGTTTTTTTTTTTTCGTTTCTTTCTTTCTTTCTTTTTTCTTTTTTCATTTTTGAGTTCATCTCATTTTTCATATGCTTTCGGCTGCTGCTTCTTGACGAATGGCTTTTGGATCTTAATGCTTACAATCTAGATATAAGTATAGGTATAGGCATGTATATGGATAGGAGTATAGGTATAGGTATAGGTATAGAGGGGTAGGGGTTACATATGCTTTTTGGGGGGAGGGAAAATACATTGTGCTTAAAACCTAAAAAGAGTAAAATGGATTATCAGATATTGGAGCGTGTGTTATATGTTACAATATGAATGGCTTGGGCTTGGGGAAAGATTGTTGTGGTGGCGGCTAAATTATGCTCTCGTTTCCTGTTCTCTATCGATATTCGATATTCGATTTAGACTCCGACTAATGTGATCTACTCGGTACTAACTATAAGTATAAGTATATGCTTCGAAGAACTCTACTTGAGATGCGCTAAAATTTGGCAAATTCTATAATGTACGATATATAGTAGGTATGTATATATTAGTTGGATATATCGATATATCAAAAGGTTTTGGGAAAGGGAAGGGAAGGGAAGGGTAGGGGACTGGCTGGCTGGCTGGTGTGAAAATCTATAACTCCGTATGAATTGGGTTAACTAGGGTCCTTGGTCACTTGGTCAGTAAAAGTAAATCTTGATTGGGCCACTCACAGATGATGGCTCTGTCCTCCTAAATATTCGATACGCGTAATATTGTTCAAGTGCTTGCTTTCCTTTACTATTTTTTTCTTTTGTTTTCTTTTGTTTTCTTTCTTTTCCGATCGATTAAGTAATTGTACGATATATGGATACTATATAGCTGCCCTAACTGGCGGTTCTATCTTTCTATCTTTCGTTTAGTTAAGTGTTTCGAAAACATTGATAAATATTGCATAAGTCTATCAACTACTCGGATACTGAGGCTTCAACTAGATGTAAAAATTGTCTTGAAATTTCGAATACGAATACGAATACGAATACGAATATGAATACGAATGGGGGCGTACCCTATCAATGGGTATGGGTATCTGTGGGTATCTGGTAGCATCGTGTACCCACGCATAACTAAAGCGAATTTATACATTTCTGTTTTTTGTTTCTTCTTGTTCAAGAACCTAAACCCTAAAGCTTTCGCAACGCTATGCAAATGATGCAAAAATCCTACAAAACTAAGCGACTATCAATCGTTGATCGGCCTCTCCCCTCCGCTCCCTCTCCAGGCCTGATCTGGCGGCACCTCGGGGCAGGCATCCGCCTGCTCCTAGTACGGATTAAACTTGTTGCGCTGCTTCTCCGACTCGACTCCGGTCTCGGCCTGGTGCTGCCGGAACCGCGCGTAGTGTCCCTTGCCGCGATTCACGCCGGTCGTCTGCACTGGCGGTCCGCCCGGCGAGCCGCCGTTGTCGTTGCCCAGCGACGTGAGGCTCAGCAGATCGAGGGCGCTGAGGTTGGACAGGGCGCTCAGGGCGCCCGGCTTGGTCAGCAGCTGCAGGGCCGAGGCGAGGGGGCTGTTGAGGGCGGCAGCAGCCGCCACCGGATTGATCCCGGCCGCGGTGCCATTGGGTGTTCCGGCACTGCTCTGGTTGCCATTGACGCCGGCATACGAGGCGGAGACGCTGCCATTGCTGCTGATCGAGCTGCTGCTTCCGTTGGCGGCTCCCGTGGGGCTGCCGTTGCTGCCTGCCCCTGCGCCGGCAGCAGCTGCAGCTGCAACAGCTGCTGCTGCCGCTGCTCCTCCTGCGGCGAGGGCCACTGTGGTCAGGGCTCCGTTGGTGCCCGCGGCGGGTGTACCGCCGCCGACGGTGGCTCCAGCTCCTCCGGGCACAGCTCCGGCTCCCACAGCAGCCGCTCCTCCGTTCTGCTGGGCCTGGGCCTGCTCCAGGAGATTGGCCTTCTGCAGCTCAACGCTGTGGATGAGGTTTCGGTTAAGGTAGATAGAAAGAGAGAGAGAAAGAAAGGAACAAATTGGGATATTGTTGGTATTTGTTGCGGTTTTTGGGTGAGAGGTATTTTTCAAAACATTTGGTATTTTTTTTTTTTTCGATTTTGTGGAATTGAGTTGGTTTTTTTTTCTTTTCTTTAATTTTTTTTTTTTTTTTTTTTTTTTTTTTTAGTGTTTATGCAAAAGGTTAAGGAGGTTTTGTGTGGAGGAACGGTTCGGAGTTTACGGAGAGAGAGAAAAAGAGAGCTGTTTCAAGGTTTTATTTAATTTTTTTTTTTTTTTTTTTTTAGTTTGGGGGGTTTTTTGGTTTTGGTGGGAGAGCGGCGTTCAAATTTTGGATGGTAGGATTAGAAGAACTTAAGTTTTTTTTGTGGTTTTTTTTTTCTTTTTTTATTGGGAGACATGGACCGAAAGAGTTGGTTTTTTAAGGTTTTTTTTTTTTTTTTTTTTTGGAGGATGAACTGTGGTTGGGAGGAAATACGGTTCGGTTTTTGATTTTTGAGGGGGGAGAGAGGTTTTTGGAGGATAATTTTTGGAGTTGAACTGCAGTTTGAAGTACCAATTGGATCAGGTCGGTCCAGCATTACGAGAGCGCATGTACCGTTACGTTTTTTTTTTTTTTTGTTCTTTTCTGTTGTGTAAGAAGAGTGTGCGATGCGTAGATTGATTCGAGAGAGAGAGAGAGAGAGCTGGGCTGGTGGCTGGGCCTCATCACGTTTCGACCTTGATATTGATCCGCTTCCTCTGGCTCTGGCTCTGGCTTTGGCTCTGGCTCTGGCTGTGGGCCTGCTGAACTGTTATATTATACATGGTTTTGTTGTTGGTTGGTAATACTAGATATATATGGTACGAGTATCAGTTATACAGGTGGTTTATACAAATCGTTATGCTAGAAGAAGTTCTGTGGAGATCTATGGATCTGTGGTGGAAGTGCTTGGACATGTGGCTTCGCAGGGCTTACGACTTATAGACTACGACATGTGTGTTGTGGCTTAAGCTATGGTTATGGCTATGCTAACCTTTGGCCTCCCCCCTCCCCAACCCTCGACATCCGTCGAAACCCCATTTGAACGAGCCGCCACTCCACGACCGAGAGAGACAGAGAGACAGCGAGACAGCGCGAGAGAGAGAGAGTGAGAGAGAGAGAGAGACGGTTGCGTTACCGATGACCGACGACCTCCTTATACCTTATATACTTTTTTGGTCAATTAGCAAATCAATTCGACAAAATTGATGTATTGACACACACACGCACATGAATATAAAGACGAAAATAAAACACAAAGGCACACACAGAGGTAGTACATTACGGTACGGTACAGTACAGTACATAAGGATATGGCGCACTCACCTCATATTGATTAAGTATTGGGCCAGGGCCACCGAATCCGGATTGCCACTAATGGTTATAGTGCGATCGGTATTGCCGCCCTCGCGCTCCTCACAATTGGAGATCCTGATCATGGCGCCGGATATCTGGCGGATTTCGGCAATCTTGGTGCCACCCTTGCCGATAATGCAACCGATCAGATCATTGGACACGGTCATCTCGTGCTGCTGCTGTTGGGCGCGATTGGCGGCGTTGGCTGTACGCAGTTGCGACCCGGCCAGTGCAGCCAGGGCTGCTGGGGCAGAGCCTAGATTAGATTGGAAATCTGCCTGGCCTCTGATCGATGAAGCGCTCAACTCACCTGTGTGGTTGATGCCCCCAGTGCTGGCTGGGTTCATGCCAGCCAGGCCCAGGGCAGCCAGACTGGCCAACGGGTTCTTGGCCACCTGTTTTCGAAACGGGGAGGAGAAGGAACATAGACGAAAGGCATCGATTAGTGAGTGATTCCATTATATGTATTTTTCTTAGTTTTGTTTTTTTAAAGGTTAAATCTTATTCCAGGGGCTTCATTGGTTATAGTGTGTGTAAGTGTGTGTGTAAGTGTGTGTGTGTGTGTGTGTGTGAGTGTGTGTAGGGTGTATATATATATTCTTGAGGGGGGTGGGGGGGTTCTGTTTCAGGGGGTAGATCGGGTGGCAGGGGGGAGATCACAACACAACGCGCGTACAACTTTCAACAACAGTCAACAGAAGGGAACAAAAGGGAACAAAGGAAAGTGAAACTGAAATGAAAATGTTTACAGAATAGGAACGAAATGGTAACTGAAACGGAAACGGTAACGGAAACGGCATGGGAACGAAACGGATAAAGCATTTTCAACAAAACAACAACAGCAACAACAGAATGCAATAAGCAAAAGCAAAAACGGGATAGTAATCATCATCTGGGACTCTTTTTGTTTTTGTTTTTTGTTTGTACAATTCGTATATTTCTCTTTATACATCAGTTTGTGTGTGTGTCTGTGTGTGTGTGTGTGTGTGTGTGTGTGTATGCGTGAGGTATGTAGGTGTATGTAAGTGTTTTCGTAGTAGTAGGGTTCATTGGAATAATGTTTCTCTGGTTCATGACTCTACTACACAAGAATTTACAAGAATTTAGCTTTACAAAATTTAAGGTTACATAGAGAGAGAGAGAGACAGAGAGAGAGAGAGAAGAAATGGTTGGATAGCAACTATGTTCAGACATTTATTGGATATACAATGGATGGAACACCTCGTACATATGTGTGGTAGGACTGTATGTAAATGGGAATGGGGATGCCTCGCCTTGAGACCTATACTATTTATATATTCCACAATCTCTGGCTGTAATTTCATTATTGTACATTTCCCCTGGATCTGGAGCATATTTCAATGCATCCTCAACATCTGCTATGCATGGGGGATTTTTTCTCTTTTTTTCTCTTCTTGTGTTTTTTTTTTTCCACCACTGACACCTACAGCAAATAACATATACAAACACACTCAAAGAGAGAGAGAGAGAGAGAGAGAGCGAGAGAGGAGGAGACCTGCCATATAAAGCTTTCCACACGACACACGATGTGGCAGGATGGAGGGTGCAGGGTGCAGGGCTAGGGGCTACGCTAGGATATGCACGCGCTTTATAAATTAATCAAATCAAATGCGAACACTTGCGAATAACTTTCGAATAAATGCATCCAAAAGCAGCTCTCAAATCGAGACAGAGACAGAGAGACAGAGAGAGAGAACGAGCGAGATGGGGGGCTGGTGCTGGGGGTGGCTTGGAAAACTAGAACTAAGAGAAAATCTCATATAAATCATACAATATTGAAATTGCATTGTGCGGGGGAATGGTGCACGGTGCACGGTGCATGGTGCATGGGGCATGGCTATGTCTGTGTGTCCTCTGTGTGTGTGTGTGTGTGTGTCAGAGCTTAGAAAACTTGAACTGAAATATTTATCAAAATGCAATACGAAATTCAACTCAAAAAAAGAAACAAAAAAAACATGCGCCATGGAAATATTTTATGACCCAAAAAAGAATTGCAACTCAATAAAAAAGTTTAGTGCGAGATCCAGAACGGGACGGGGTGGGTGGACGGGGGGTGGATGGGGTCGCTACCAACAATGGATTATCTGCCAGAAAACTGTCATAAAAACTTGTGTGTTGGTGTGCGTGTGTTTATTAACAAACATTTGCGACAACACACACACACACACAGACAGAGACAGAGGCAAAAACAAGTTGAAACATTTCAAAAAAACTACAAGAAACTTGAAAGGGCTGAAGGAGGCAGGAGAGGGAGAGCCCCGAGGAGTGGAGTGGAAAAAAGGGGTTAACGACAGTAAAAATGCATTTGTTGATGACTTTTGGGGAATGGGTGGCGACGATTCTGCAGTATAGGGGCCATGTCCCCCAGAGTTGCCTGATTTTTAGTGCCGCTCTTGTCGCTGCTGCTGGCCATTGGCAACATTGTGGCAACGGACACGAGACACACGAGGCACACGAGACACACGAGGCACACGGGACACACGGGACACTCGTGGGCTGGCCCCAAATGCTAATGTTATTGAAATGCGCCGCTACGCTACTGGGGGGATCATAAAAGAAGTGCCAAAGGTAGTAAAGATTGTACACAACACACAAACTACTGACGGGGGGGGTGGAGCGGGGCGGGGGGTACAATATACAACTATCTAGGGATTCATACAGTGTGGGATTTCTTATACAGGCAGGCAGGCATTGGGTACAGGTACAGCGGTACAGCAACATCATGCTCTGTCTGGCGGTGGGGCGGAGGGGCTAGGGGGGGCTTAGGGGCTTAGGGGGGCTGTTCGTTCGATTATATAGTAGTTTGTTTCTTTGATAGAGTTGTTTGGAGTTGGAATTGGAGATTTCTTTTTGTTGGTTGGTTGGCAGTTTTTGAACCGTTTCGGATTTCGGATTTCGGATTTCGGATTACGGATTTCGGAGGAGGATGATATCTAAAAACTCACATCGGGCATTTGCTGTAGGTGATGGTGGTGTGCTGGTACCGCTCCTTGTAAATGTGCCCCCTTTAATAAAGGATCCGCTAAGCCTGAAATACCAGCATGTAGGCCGCCGGTAGCCAGGGCAAGTGGAAATACTGGACAGGTCTACGTTTTATTGTTGTATTTTTTTCATTTTTTGTATTTGTGTTTGTGTGTGTGTGTGTGTGTGTGTGTGTGTGTGCATTTATTTAGTTTTGTTCGTTCGGTTGAAAAACATTTTGCCAAAGAAGAAGAAAGAAAAGTAGAAAGAACGAAAGTTGTATACCACAAATAAATGCATTGGAACAAGTTGATTATTAAATCTTAACTTTTGTAGTTGCTATTTTGCTATGGAGAGATGTTTAAAAGCTTATCAAATACGTATACGATTTATCGCTGGAGAAATTCGGAAAAAGCTTTCGAAACGTGTGTACTTGTGTGTGTGTGTGTGTACTTGTGTGTGTGTGTGTGTATTTGGGCAGAGATCGAGAGGGCGGGCTTCAACAGAATAAATGATATTTTGGGGCGGACGGGGGGGTTAGGGTATAAAAACAATAACAAATGACGACCAAGAGATAGGAGATTCCAGGGGGATTCCAAGGGGGGGAAGGGGGTGTCAAATACCATGAGGCATGAACGAGATTCAACAACTAATGTGGGACTAATGCCGACAGGTTAGCGGAGAGGTTGAGAGTACATTTCGGGTACAGTTTAGGCATTTTTCTGGCCTTTTACAACACTGTTTCTTTGGCTTCCACTGGGGGGACAACTATGGGACGTCGCTTTAGGCCAACAAAATGGTAAACCAACACCGACAACAGGACCAGGGAGAGACACAGATTGAGCAAGAGAGAGAGAGAGCGAGAGAGAGAGCGAGAGAGAGAGAGAGAGAGAGAGCGAATGGTTGGAGTGAAATAAATGGGTTCTACATAAAACTTGTTCTTTTTTTGATTTATTACATTCCTGGATGTTAATTGAATTGGATTTGACAACAACAAAACTTTTTGATTCTGTTTTTAGTTGTGGGAAAAAGTTTTTACTGGGCTGTCGAGTGGAGGGACCGTGGACCGAGGACAGGACTGTACTGAACGGAACGGAACGCAACGCAACAGAATGGAATGGAATGGCACAGAACTGTACTATATGGAGGGGTGGCCGGCTCTGTGGTTGTACTAGAAATAGTTTTTACTGTTGTTTCGGAGCACAAAATTGAATTGCGGGATTTTTTAACAGAGTTATGAACAATACTTATTGATACGGAGAGAGTGGAGAGTGGAGACTGGAGACTGGAGCGAGAGAGACAGTGAGAGATGTGAGAGGAGGGCTCGGGCAGGACGATATTTGAACAGTATGTTATTGTTGTTGCTAATGGCTATTGGCATTTGCTGTATGCATAGACACGAGTGTACTCTGGTATTCGATGGATGGTTACATTTGGCAGGACGAAATTCATCTAAATAAAGGCTGGACTGGACTGGACTGGACAGGACTGGACTGGACTGCTTTTGTTGTGTGTTTTTTTTTTTGGTCAAAGGAAATGCCTGTAGAACACAGAAAATCATGAGATCGATTGAACGCAGGAGAGAGTTTGGGGTTCTTATTATTAATTCATTTATTTATTTATGTTTTCTGGCACTCGATAGAGAGAGAGAGAGAGAGAGAGGGGGGGAAATTCTGATATTCGTTGTCGTTTGTTGTTGTTGTGTGGATTAATTGGATATATATATGATAGATATAGATAGTTTTTGAGTGATAGATAGATAGAGGTGGTTGGTGGTTTGGTTTTGGTTTTGGTGTTGGACTAGTGTAGTTTTTGAACATACTTCTCCACACACGCTGCCAGCGAGCCCTCGTCAGAACAGAACTTAGAGACACACACAGATAGAGAGAGAAGAAGAAGAGAGAGAGACGGGCAGAGGCAGAGGCAGAGACAGAGACAGAGACAGTTGGAGGAGAGAGCCGAGACAGAGATGTTACAGAGAGATTCACAGATTCAGAGAGAGAGAGGGAGAGGGAAGCCCCCGCTCCCCGAGAGCCTTTTCTTTCTTTCTTTCACACAAAACTCACTCCGCGCCTCGGCTCGACTCGACTCGACTCGACTCGACTCGTGCCTTGCCTTGCCTTCGGACAAAGCCTCCTCCCCCGTTACTTTTTCTCAGATATTGGGGATTTTTCTGACTATTTCCCACACGACGACGACCGACTCTCGAAGTGAGACAGAGACAGATGCTGAGATTGAGAGAGCCTCAGAGAGCGGCTCACTCGTTCGCTCTTTTAACCTGAGAGAAGAGAGTGCAAAAGAAACTAAAAACAAAACGAAAAAGATACATATTTTAAAGTTTATTTCAAAAAATTTGTTTTCGTTAAGTTTAATTTGTCGTTGAGTCTGGATGGCTGTAAAATCGGTTAGCACATTAGTTCATTTGATCGTGGTGGGGTCCGGGGACCTGGACTGGACTTGGACTTGGATATAAAGTAGATGTAGAACACATAATCTCCTGGGGGGGGGAGGCGTGGGGGGGGTGGCTTGGGGTAAACAACGGTGGCTGGAGGGTTAAGAGGGCGATCAAAAATGGGACACACACTTCGGGTCGGTTCGGATCGGTTCGGTTTGGTTCGGTTTGGTTCGGTTTGGTTCGGGGGTTCTTCTCCAGAGGGAGACAGACAGAGAGAGAGAAAGAGAGAGAGAGATTCTTCAAGTAGAGAGAGAGAGAGAGAGACAGACAGAGAAAGAGAGTATGTAGAGGAGGTTTGCAAAATCATAAACGTTTCGGTGGGGGGATTTCTACAGAGTGACGAGCATTGGGGGGAGAGTGAGAAAAGTGAGAGACAGAGAGAAAACTAAAGAGTTATTAAGAGGCAAATAGAACACAAAGATTGTGTGTGTGTGTGTGTGTGTGTGTGTGTGTAGACGCGCAGAAACCAAAAAAGAGAGAGAGAGAGAGAGAGAGAGACAGTTTCGGGGGTGGGTTGGTTTAGGGGTCTCTAGATACAAATTTGTCTTAGCTGGGGGCTCAAGGGTCTGGGGGCCTGGGACTCGGTTACGACAGAAAGAGAGAGAGAGAGACAGAGCGAGACAGAGAGATAGATAGATAGATAGCTGGCGATAGAGTGAGAGTGAGAGAGTACACAACACTGTTCACTGTCTAACAACACTGTTTTTTGTGTGCTTCGGTGTTGTGTAGCGCCAGGAAGACATACCTCTTGTGTGGGCACTGCATAGTTGCCTTGAATAGTAAAGGCCTGTCCATTGGCCAGTATAACAGGGCCAGTTACTTGCGGTTTTGGTCGATACGGTATGGTGGCACCGCGTGGCGGGGACTGTCAATGGAGGAAAGGAAACAGTAATTAGTTAGAGAGAGCAGCTCGAAAGGAGAGGAGCGGAGAGGAGAGGGTACCCACCTCCAACATGACAAGACAAATCTGATAGATGCACTGGGTGATCTGCTCGGCACTGCCACTCAATGTAACCGCTCGCTCTGTGGAGTTGGGCAGCATTTCGCTGGCCACCTGTATGGAGCAGCCGGTAGTCTGGCGTATTTCCTTGATCTTTGAGCCACTTTTGCCTGTTCGAATCAAAGTCAAACGATTAAGATAACGATTTCTTTGGCTAGATGGATTCACTTACCAATTAACGATCCACATTGACTGGCGGGCACAATCAATCGTATGGGTATTTGAGTTTTGCCAATTTTGCCTGCATCATTGAACTGCGAGCACCACTAAAACGGGTCAGAAGTTAGTAATGTGAAAGGACTCCCCCTGGGACTCACTGGGACTCGATGGGACACCAGGTGGACACCAAGTGTTTGTCCCCCCGTCCCCACCGGCCTGTCGGTTTTAGCGCACACATACCTCTTCGAATTTCTTGGTGATGAGCGTAAATGCCGAAAAGATTGCATTAGTTGTACCAGACACAGTCACAATACGTTCCGGGCACGACCCATCCGATATATTAATTTTGGCACCAGACTGTGGACGGAGATGGAAATGCAATGAGTTATGGCCTCCGATATCTTGGGATCTACTCACCTCTTCACGAAATCTGTTGACAATTTCACCCTTTTTACCAATAATACTACCAACTTCCTGCAAAGAAACAAAACAAATGGCGGAAGCATGTAGTAGAATATCTTTTAAATTAAGTTTACCTCCCCTTACAGATACTGCAGATGCAGATACATTCAAAAGCACTTTATTGTGTCTCTGGTTTTTTTTTCTTTTTTTTTTTTCGTTTCTTTCACTGCCACTGCCACTGTCAGCGACGATGCTCAAATTTGATTAAATATTAAGTGATATTATGCCAGAGCATGCACAAAGGAAGGCACATACCCGCCCGTCCACCCCTCCACCCCCCCCATCCCACCACTCATGTGAGTGTGTAACTACTTTTGCATATTTAATTGCCACAAAAAGCAATCCCCACTCCCACAGAAAAAAACCCAAACTCGATCCCATTTCCCTTTCAGTCAGTCAGGCTGTCCGTCTGCCTGTCTGTCTGTGGCAGTGGCAGTGTCCGCGGACTGGGGACTGTGGACTGGGGACTGGACTGTGTGTCGCACAGCAGAGCACATAATGAAATTTGCGGCCAGCGCATTTAACGCGTTTTAATTGATTGTAAATATCTGCACTGACTGCCCCGGCTCTCGTAACCAGAAACCCGAGTGCCGCACTGGAAAAGTCGAGTGGCAACAATAGAGACCGCCCTCCCCCCTCCCTCCTTTGGGTATCAATAAATCAATCATTTTTAATAAGCAGTATTACTGTACATCAATCGTAATGTGACGTGGTCCACGGCACATGGCAGTTGACAGATATCAAAAGTGGTTTCCACTTACACCCAACAGAGGGACACCGCGGCAGAGGGCCGGGAAAGAGTGCAAAGCCGAGAGTGCAAAAGCAAAATACACGACTTCCATGGCGCCAAAGTGCAGAATGAAAAGGAAAAAAGTCTGCACGATCGGGAATCCCATAGCAACTAAATACACCGCGACCGAGTATGCAAAAACAAAATACGAACAGTGTGCGTGAAGGAACGGGTCTAAACGCTGCTCGACTCCAGTCTAGGGAGTCCCCAAAGCGAGAGCCACTAGGATTGGATCAAATATATATAGAAGGAAGCTTTCTTGACTTTCTTGCAGCTTCCCTTCCGCCCTTCCTTAACCTTTAACCCATCTAAACCCCATCTATCTCCCTATGTCTTGGGACTGGGACCGGCATATACTCTCCTCTCGCCATCCGGCTCTCAGAAGTGGTAACCAGGTGGAGCTGCCTTCAATCTACGGCTAACAAATTGAACATTTGAGTAAACTTTTGGGCTTTCGTTGGCCGATTTGTCGAAATGTTTCAACATCTCTGGGACCGTGGCCAATATTGATTGCCATGCTAGAACGATGCGATGCTCTGGCCATAAACCATCGCGGCAACCTTCACAGAAACACCAACCAAAGTGCAGCAGTCCATTGTGCTAGTACGATGTATTATGTACGAGTATTATGTACAATATCTGTTGGCTTTTTGTTGGTTTTTTTTTTCGGCTCATCTATGGGCAGTTTGCCAGACAAAATGCAGCGAGAACCGGGCAACTGGGGAAGACAATGTGCGAGGGAAATTAGTTGTCTCCTCCCTTCCTCTGGCATTATCCCAATTCTTGTGCGCCTTTTCGACAAAATATTTATGCCCATGCCATGGATATTTATTGTACACAAATGTCAGAGCGAATTGGCATAATTATTGGCGCAATTATCGTTGAAAGCAGAACGAACGAGGCCCAGCCCCAGCCCCAGCCTCAGCACGCTCTCTCAGTCGCCGATGCGTTTTTACGCCCGTCTGCACTCGCGGACAAATTTCGATGGTCCGATGTTGTGTGTAATTTATAGGACAAGTTTGCTGCCCCCACACCCCCCATTCTACACATATCTGTAGCTGTATCTGTGGCCTAGAGACTCCTTCATCTTTTGCTTGATGCCTGCCCGCGTGGCCATCATCAGCGGTTCGCGGTTTGCCTCATCATCATTAATAATGTGGCCAAAGCCGGTGCGTGGCAGTGTAACTTCCCCTCTCTACCCTCTCCACCCTGTCCCCTGCCCCTCCCATATACATTCAATTATCCCCGTTCCATGGCCAGTGCCGATCCGAGACCGAGTCCGAGTCCCAGTTCCGTTCTGAAGTTTACGCAATTTGCATAAATCGGATCCGCCTGACATCGTTTGGCCTCTCTCCCCCTCTCTGGTGGTGAAATTTTCGGTGACTTTCGCCCGGCGGAAAGCCACTGCTTGCCATTTTCCTGGCCAACAATTAAATGCCTTACATTCTCGAATGCATTGTAAAATTTTGTATTTTGCATTTTGCATTTTGAATTTTCGAATGTTTTGCAATTTCCAAAAATCACTTTGTGGTCAGAGTCGGAGGCTGTGAAGCATTTTGGTCAGCCTTTTGTTGAATGTTTTTGGCTTTTGCTTACAGCTGGGATTCGGATTCGGACTCGAATACCGATTGGGAATCGATTTGGTCGGCGGGAGTGGGTGGGGAGCTTTTCGTGCTTAAAATATGCATGGGAAAAGTTGACATTCCGCCCACACGCACACACGGAGCCCTGGGGGGGGGGGGAAGGGGGGTGGTGGGGGGAGAGCCAAAACTGTTTGAAAATGCAGGTTGGCATTGGGCTTTCCATGTGGTCCAGAGTCCGAGTCCCAGTCCCTCGTCCTAGCCCCTGTCCTAGTCCCCTTCCCAGTCCACCTCCTAGTCCCCTTCCCAGTCCACCTCCTAGTCCCCGTCCTAGCCCCCGTCCTAGTCCCCTTTCCTAGTCCACCTCCTAGTCCCCTTCCCAGTCCCCATCCCGAGCAGGGAATAAGTTCTCGTTTTTCCCATTTTGCATTCCATTTTTATTGATTTTGTCGGGGGAGATTCTGAGATTAGGGGCCAAGCGGCTTTTGGGTCCCCAGTTAACACCCGAGGTCCATTGTGTTGTCGATCTTAAGCCTTGACTAAATGGGGTTTAAAGGTTGTAGAGGACCCCCGCACCCCCGCCCACTCTGTTAACACAATACAAAATTACCCATAAGCGAGCGGCCACATTCGGAATGTTCTACCAATTGAAAAGAGAAAATCATTGGCTGCCCGTGAAATGGAGGTATTAACAGCTACTGGAACCACTTTCTCCCTACATCTAGATGGATAGACCCTTTGAAACCTTTTCGAATCATACCATTAGCCAATCATTATAAATAGATGAGCATCAACAGCCGTCACATCTCTCGCCCCCCATAATGATCCCAAGTATTCCCCCATCTAATGCTTTTTTCCCACACAATTTCCAGTCGAACGCAAAATTTTGATGGCTCCATTTATCACTTTGGGGCTTTTGACAAACCATAACAGGAAAGGCATTAAAGCCAAGGCCCAAAAGAATGGACAACGAACGCTAATTGTGGAGGCCACAAAAGAAACGGCCAGAACCAGAGACGGTGGCAGTGGCTGGGAGGGGGGCACGAGAGATACGAGTAGTTTTTGGTGTTAGTGGAGCAGACATTAAAGAAGAAGCAGAAAGAACGCAAAGAAAGGGGGAAAGAATGGAGAAAACAAATGGCAAGCAAACGGCTTTCGGACTTTGACTCGAGACGAAAGACAGTGCCGTGGGGCATGACTCGTTTTTCACAGATTTTTCTTGATTTTTGTTGTTTGTTGTTTGTAATGTGTTTTAATGTGTGGCGGCGTTGAAAATTGTACGAAAATAAATAAATTGCAGCAACAATGAACAAACAACAGCAACAGCAACAGCAGCAGCCACCGCAATCTCTGACGGCAATTGCAAAACCGTGAGAACCATTTATGGGAGCTGCCGCATGTTGCAAAGGAAAAATGCAAGAAAAACTTGCAACAAATGTTGGAAAATCCACAAAATGTGACAAAAGAGGGGCTAGTCGGAGGGGGGGAGGAGGGAGCAGAGCAGACACATATGGCCTGCTGTGGCACACATGTGCGGCTGGCTCTGGCTCTGGCTCTGGCTTCGTCTCCTCCTGCACCTCCTGCATCCCCTCCCCACCAAACTCTATCCGATAAATCATGGAGCGCATTTTGTCGTCCAGCACATTTTTTTTTCGCTGTTTCTGCTATTTCTGCTCCTGGCAGCCGCAACGAAAACAAAACAGCAACAAAAAAATAAAATAAAAATTGTACAATTAAATAATTTACAATTTTCCAGGGCCGAATGCAGGAGGGTCAGGAGAGGATACAGGCAGCTAGTGGGAAATTTTTAATTAAATTAAATAATAACAGAAACAGGAGGAAGGCAGGGGGCAGGAAGGAGGCAGGCAGGAGGCAGGAAGGAGAACATTCAACATTTTGTTGTTGAAAGGGAAACCGTCAACAGGCGGGTGGCGGGTTGGTGGCTGGATAATACCCCGAATACTAGATGCTTCTTTATATACAAATCGAAGCTTGAGCTGTCGTCCCCCTTCCCCCTCCCCCTCCCCGTTGGCGTTGCACAACAAAAAGCGCTGCTGCTCTCCATTTGAAAAATAGTTAAATTAGTAAGAAATTAGACAAGTGCTTGGGAAATGTGGCAGACAGTGATGAAAATTCGCATAAAGGTGCCTGCCACCCCTCTCTGTCGCTGCGGCATGCCCCCCCCGCCCCCCGCCTGTCTCCTCTGTTGCAGTCGTCGTGCAATTTCACTAATTAAAAATGCATGATTCAAAAATACAACACCAACAACAATTGCAACAAATATCTGTGTGTGTGTCTGCCACGGACAATTCTGGGCGAGAGAGCAACCCACATTTTCGGTTTCGTTTCTTTTGAATGCAATTTGCGGATGGCTGCCAAGAAAAACAAACGGAACAAACGGAGCAAAAAGGTGCAATATGCAACAACAAAAAAAGCAAAACAAAACAAATACAAAAAAAGAAGAAAAAAAAGAAAAAGGTGTTTTTTCCACATTGTCGCTGCACTCCATCTACTGCATATTTTTGTTGTTTCTTTCTTCTATTTCTATTTCATTTTTATTGTTTTTTTGTCTTCTTTTGTACATATATATTTTTCCATAAATTAATTAACTGCATCACGACTTTGCCTCTGACTCAGGCTCCATGGCATCGCCTCTGTGCCTCCGTGCCACCGTGTGTCCGTGTGTCTCCGTCTCCGATTTCGATTCCGAGTGACTGTGACTTTCACAGAGAACTGCAACAATTGCACTCGGGGGCCTAATGAGCCAAAGTTAATTAGACAGACGCAGAAATATCACAAAATACTTGAAAAACAATGGAAACTCTGGCAGCGAGTGCCCTTGACATGCAAGCCCCCCCCGCCCCCGTACCGTACGAAGGGAGGGATCCTCCACACTCCTCTGTCTGGCGCGGTTCTTTGTCTCTTCTGTATCTGTATCTATACATCTCCATCTGGCTTGGAGATTTATTTTGGTTTATCCCCCTCTCTTTCGTTAAATAATTGCAACATTGATTGGCTTGAGGATTTACGAGTGGCTGAGTGAGTGGGCGATGGGCCTCTGCTGATCCACGAATCATTTGCCAGATAGGACTGGTTTGGCAATCATGGCTTAAAGGTTTCCTCAGCAATTAAATCTTGTGCAATGTTCTGCCAAATCTATGACGATCCACAGTATATTTATTGCAATAAATATAGATCTATAGATAGATCTCTGCCTAAATTCCCTCATAGCCCTCTAGACTCGAGTCCTGCTTTAAAAATTGATTATAATCTTATGCAAATGTATCTTAAATTCCTTTTTATATCAACATTTCGCACCCAGTCCTCGTTCCCATCTCTAACTCTCTAAAATTCTATTAAAATACAATGTGCATATAGGAAATTTCCCAAACATGTTCTCTTCTTCTCAATACTCAATAATTATTCGATTGCATTCTTTGATAAATCTCTATAAATCCCAGCTTCAGTGTCTCTCCCCCAACCTATCCCAACTATCTCCCCCTCTGGCTCCCCTCCCCTGTCTCCTCCGCTCAGTAATTACCCAACCACCCGAACCTACCTCAAAGTCTAGTCGCACAATTAAATAAACACAATCCCAATGCGGATATACCCGCAATGAGTCGCCCTCCCATCTTCGATCTCCCATCTATCGGCCGATTTCTGTATAATCTGGCAGATCGGTTGACATTATTTCGCCGCTGCTGCTGCCTCTGCCTCTGCCGCTGCTGTTGGTTTTTATTTTTTCCTGTTTTGCCACTTGATTTGCATTGCGCCTCAAATTTATTCACATCTCAAATACGAGACGCCGCACAAACGACGCGGCGGGGGGGTGCCCGTTCGAAAAAGGCCGCATAAATCATGCTAATCTATAACTATCGATCAAAAAAAAAATGAAGGGGAGAGAATTTATTGCCCGAATCCTTGAGCACCACTCAAGGCACAAGAAAGAAAAATCAAAATCAAAATCAGAAATGAAGAAAATCTCGGGAGAAAATGTGCAGGGAATATTTACAAAATGTTCATTAATACATACTCGTACATACATACATAGATACATACATAAATATGTACATATGTATGTATATGTATATTTAGTTTATTTCTTGTGCGCAATTATTCATGGGGTTGGGGGTCTCTAAGATCGGTCAAATACAGTATAGAGGGATTTACCAGGTACAGCTCTCCCCTGCCCCTGCCCCTGCCACTGCCCCTCCCCCTGCCACTGCCCCCTCTTCTAATCTGATTTCAGATGTTGGCTTTTTCTTTGTCAACTCGCACTGTTTTGGCCCACTGGGCTGTCTGGCTTCTATTTTCGCCATAAATTGTCGCGTCTGGGGGGCATATTTCTCTGCCTTTTTGCCAATTTTTGGCTACACATCATGTAAAGTGTTCAACGAAAACCCTCCCCATCCCCCCTTCCATAGCCTACCCGCTTTGGATGCGATAGATGCACTGGTCTGTCGCCTTATCTTGTGCTGCTGCACCTGTCGCCTCTTTTAGACGCCGAATAAAAATAAAAATAAAAATCAAGCCAGAAAATGTATAATTAAATCGATGCCTGCCGACTGCCTGGGCACATCGAAATTTGGCTGGGAATCGGCTTTACAGCATTTCAGCATTTCGGATTTTCGGCTTTCGGCTTTAGCGGTAAATGGAGAATAAGGCTAAAAAGATAAATGACAGCTCCAGCACGTGCCCAGCGCCAGAGCCAGCGCCTCCTCTTCGCTCCACCTCTCTTTCCCTCTCTCTCTCTATCTAATGTACACATCTCAAGTGGCAAGCCTCTCCATCTCTCGTCTCGACTCGTCTCGTCTCGTCTCGACGCGATCCGCTTTGAATTTGCGTGACAGCTTTTTTCAGTATTTTTTTTGTTGCTGCTGAATAATAGTTTTTAATGGCTGTTGACTGTTATTAAATAAATAAGCAGCTATTTAGTGTCGGTTTTTGTCCCCCCCTTCGCTTTGTGGTGGCTTTTGTTTAGCCCAGCTTTTAGCTTGAATGCTTTCGTGTCTATGAATCAGTGTCCCCGCCCACCGCCCACCGTCCGAGCAGCAGTAGCTTCAGTTTAATCGGAAAACGATACATTAACCAGCCAGCCGGCCAGAGATATCATAATTATTAGTAATACTATACCCACAGCCGAGCAGGTGACATCCCCAAGGGGTATGGGCCACTCCCCCGGCCCTAGGGCCTGTTTCAATACGTTTTAAATTCAATTGATGGCTTTCATCGTTTAAGAGAGAGTGGGAGTGGAAATGTGTAATGTTTGGCTTTGAATACCACAAATATAATGTGGTTTATCTCATTCGAATGTCTCTTTATTTCTTTGGAGAATTTACAGTCTGCCCTTAGATTATTCTCAGTGTAATTTCGTCCGCCGGCCGTCTCAAGCGAGGGCCTGAGAGCGAGAGAGAAAGAGCCTGGATGCGTCTTAGTCGAGGGCGACGCAACAGAAGAGCGATAGAAGGAAGCCTAAAAGGAATTTCTGCGAGAGGCAGAAGGAGAGAAAGAGATAGCAATGGGTGGTCTTGCGTGAGAGCAGCAAATGCAAGAGAGAGCCTTGCTTGCGTGAGAGTAGCAAAGCTTAAGACGAAGCGAAACGAAGATCACGAGGGAGATAAGGCAGTTCCGACGACGGCACTGGCACTGCGCCTCTAGCCGACTTACAACAACAAAAATGCAAGAGCCGAACCCAGGGCGGTGGTTTGATATATTTTGTATGTGTGTGTGCAATATCGTAGTTTTCTTTATTCTGCCTACAATAATCCTCCGATTACAAACAGATTCTGCAATCTGGTTTGTTTATAAAAAGGTCAAACCACTCTCGCGATGGTAGTCCTGAACCACAAATCTGTATCAGAATTAACAAAAACAACAACATTTGCATGTGTGAGGATGGATGAGAGGATTGCTTTGGTTTGGCTTGGAAATTGAATCAATTTCGAGAGATTTCAGTCATTGTTGGTGTTTCGTGTTCGATTCGTGATTCCTGACTCGTGTTTCTGGCTTTTGCCTTTGGGTCGTTTTGCCTGGGAAAAACAACAAGATTTCACTTGATTGAACTGCACACACACACACACGCACACACAAACACTATATAGAATGCGCTAGTGGCCCCTATTTGTGGTTAATTTAAACGAACAGTCAAACATATTAATATTTAATTTTTAATATTCAGTGTTTTTGCGACTGGTTTAACTCGTTGTGGGCCGCAGGCCTCCGTTTTTTTTTTGTCTTTTTCAATAAAATATTTATTATTATAAATATATGTATATGTATATATTTTGTTGCATGTTATTCTTTTTTTGTGCAATACTTTTGTTGTCATGCCAACAATTTTGTACATTGATGCATTTTATTTTGTTGCTGTTGCTGTTGTTGTTGTTGTTGTTTTATTACTCATATCTGGGGGAGCCGTAACGATTGTTTAATAGCCGATGCCTTACTTCGTCTCCCGTTTGCTTTTTTATGGCCTTTATATGAGTACCCATGTTACACTGGGAGAAAAGCGGCATTCGAAAATAGTTTTCGGTTTAAATCGAAACAGAAATGAGTATATTTTATTTAAATATCAGCATGAAATATTTGATTTTACTTGAATATATTTCAGGGCTTCCCCTATATGGTATATATTATACTTCATATTTCTCTGGGTCTCTTTCTGCCTCTGCCTCTTCCACTTTTAATTTCTTTTAAATGCAATGCCATAATGCGTGACGTGGCGCGTATTTAATTTAAATTTGCATACAAAATAATGCACGCCGTAATTTGTAAGTATATATTTTTGTGCCATTGTTTGCTCTCACTCTCCCTCTCCCCCTCCCTCCCTCTCTCTCTCTTTCTGTTTCTCTGCGGCTGCCAGGTATGCTCACGGCCCTCCCGGGGCGGGGAGGGGGACGGAGGTGGCCTTTCCCACTTATTGATTTCTGCTCCAAAAAATACGAAAAATGAGGGGAAAAACGAGGCCCATAAATATTTAAGATGTGACACAGAGCCCAATGGTGTGCACAAAAGCGTTCATATTTTAATAGGCATACGCCAGTCGGAAGGGAGAGGAGAGGAGGGAAGAGAAGGGGAATGGGAATGCCACAAGGAGTGTTCCACTCATTCCTCTACTTTCAGGGATTCCAACTTAATCGAAAAGTAAAGTAATCTTAATATGGCTCTAAGTATATCTAGTTTCGGTCTTACCTTTCCTTGCATAATCAGCCTTATTGTGAGTGTCACCGATGGGTCCTCGTGTTTGATGGACGTACCGCCCGCACTGCTGCTTGTGTTATTGTCCTCCATGGTATCTATCTTGAAGCCTTTTCTGTGTCTCGTCTGGGATTAAAATATGTATCTGATTATCGGACCGGCGGTCTCTCTCGCTCTCTCTCTCTAAGCACTTTTTCTCTCTTTTCTAGAGATGGGACCTTGGGGTTGTTGTTGCTGCTGTTGCTTTGTTGTTGTAAATATATGTATAACTTTATGCTATATACTGTTCATATACGATGATCAATATATATACTAAACATATAGAGATTTTGGCTACTTTCTTGTGGTATTATCTTTATGTATCTGTATCTTTAACTTTATCTTTAGTTGAAAATTAGAAATTGGTGGTGTCTTTTGCTAGTCGTACTACGTTTTCTTCTTGTTGTTGTTTTTGTTGTTCTTTTGTTGTTGTTGTTTCTGGCTTAAGCTCGCTATCTCGTTTCCTCCGTGTGTCCAAAAAAATGCAACAAATAATCACGGCTAAGATTTGTATCTGTATCTCTGTAGTGAAAAGTGCTGGGTATCCCTTCTGTATCTTGTTTATATATTTATTTTAGTGTTGAGCAAAAATACTGTCGCTTAGCTGCATGCCGTTCCTGTAAATAGAACAAAAACAACACCAAATTAGTCGCCGATAAATCATTGTAAATATTCATTTTGAAATGTTCATTTTGCACTCAAGAGATTGCTTCTCCCCTCCCCCCCCACACACACACATAAATCATGAAATTAGCCAAAGCTATTTTCGGGCACACATTTAATCAAGTTTTTGCCTTGCAGCGGACACATCCGGCACTTGTGCAACAAGAAGGGGGGTGGGGGGGAAGCAAAACCCATACTTGAACAGAAGGTGACCCCCCCGCCCGACAAGAGCCAGTCCCAACTAGAAAAGATCTCTCAAAGGGAGATCTCAACCCAAAAGGTGACCCCGACCAGGGCACACCAAGGACCAGAGCACATCTCAAAATGTGAAATTTCAACAGCAAAACTGCCAGAGATCCCAACCAGATTCAGTTCCTGCAAAGAGATAAACTCAACACAGTCAAAGAGCAACCCCAAGCAAAAGGTGACCCCGACCAGGGCAGACCAAGGACCAGAGCACATCTCAAACTGCGATATTTCAGCTGCAAAACAGCCAGAGATCAAAACCAGATGCAGTTCCTGCAAAGAGGAAAAACTCAACCCAGTCAAAGGGCAACCCCAAGCAAAAGGTGACCCCGACAAAAACCCCGCGTGTAGTACTTCGTGTTTCGTTCATCATCCATTTCTCCCTGCTCGTGCCCCCCCTGTTGTCCTGCGCCTGTTTGTAATTTTGATATGAAATTCTTTCATTTCATCTTCCATTTTTTTTTTCTCAGAATTTTTTTTTTTGCTGTTGAAACTGCGCCAAGTTTTTGTGCATATTCCAAACGCGATGCTGCGACGCAGATGTACTTACGTACACTTGTATACACTCATGTGTAGATATATATATATATATATATATATATATGTATGTGTATATATGTAATACATGTAATATTGATGTACTCTGGGCGCTGTTTTTGTTGCTGTTGTGAGGCATTTCTTACGCTTGAAATCACTTCATGTGCAATTTGGTACAGCACACACACACAGACACCCATAGAGAGCACACAAACATCTTACTGCCTCCGTGTTTCCCTCTCCATTCCCCCCCACCCCCCCTTTCGAGCGTACAAATTCCCAGCATAACTTGATGTATGTACGAATGTATGTATGTACATACGGCAGAAAAAAATCATTCCCGGGGGACACCAAAAATATTTGCGCAGAGACCAGACCAACGCAATGACTGCCAAAAGCTTTCCCTCTCCCTCTCCCTCTCTCTCTCTCTCTCCCTCCCCGTCGCTGTTGCTGTGGAGTTTATTTTATTTATTTCTTTTTTTTTAAGAAATTATGCACACTAATTCCCCATGTAACGGTGTCTCGAGGGCCCAACTGGGGCGCAAAAAGATGGCGAGATGGAGAGCAGTTGAAATATTCGTGGCCGAGTCGCCGAGTCTGGAGCTAAACAAAATGCGCATAATTTTGGGTAGATCTGCTGCACTTAACATTTGGCAGGACACTAGCCACAGAGCACCACAGAGCACCGCAGAGCCACAAAAAAGCGTCCCGACATTGTTCGGACCAATTTGAATTTCCCCACCAGAAGTTTTGTCCAGAAAGCCGAGTCCTGCTGCCGGTAAAAGGTGATTAAGGCACTTGGAACTCCCTCTCCCTCGCCGGACAGACTATGATATTTATAAATGCAAATTGCTGCTGGTAGACGAGGCCATAAAAGGGAATATTTTCATAGTTTTGCGGTGTAAGTTTTCCGGCAAGTTTTCGCTGGACCCAAAAAGGGACACTATATCAAGGACTTTGCTCGAGATTCACCAACGCATGCCAAGGCAGCCTTCGGGGGGCCAAAAGAAGACCCTTGAAAGGCCCAAGAAATGTACATTTTTAATGCCGATTAAGATCTTTGATTTCCATCCGATATCCGTTCGAGGCGGGCGGGTCAGGGGTCAATCAACTGGCCATATGCCCGCATCGGAGATAGCAGAAATTAGAAATTACAAATGCCACCTCTCGGTGTCCTCGCTGGCAATATGTAAATTGCTCTACAGGTACGGGACAATGGGAAGCTAGTGAAAGCCGGGAGTCCTGCCCTGTCCTTCCCTGTCCTGCCCTGCCCTGTCGGTGACACCCGCTGCGATAACCCGCAAAAGGTTGCACACAATCACATGCCGCAAGGCAGGAGGAGAGGCACAACAATGACAGCTTCTTCGGTGCCACAATGAAGGCGGAGGCGCCGAGACTCGGAGAATAAGTGTCCGAGAGGGCAATGGAATAAGAGCTTCCGTTACAAGAAAACTGCATTCTTTTGGTGCATTTTCCAGACACAAAAAAAAAGGGAAACAATGGAAAATATCTGCCGTCTCCCTGCCGTCCCTCTGCCGTCTCTCTGTCGGCGTGTCTTTTGTGTCGGAAAGGATGTCAGCTATCATTTCATTTCATTGAATTTCATTTCAACTCTCAACTCATTATCAATCATACGCACTGTCGTCTCTCGTCTGTCGACTGTCGTCTGTCGACTCCTTTACTTTTTAATGACTTTTCTATGGACGAACGAAGAGAAGGAAAAGAGCAGCGGCACAGCAGTGGCATAACTAGTTTTCTTTTAATTAACTCCGACATATAAATGCCAATGTCTGGGATCTAGGCGGGCTCTAGGGGGGGATCTGGGGGGGGGTTAAACCAGTTTGCTTTCTAATTTTCCTTCAGTTTTGCCATCGGAGACGATGTCGTGCGTGAGTCCCGTCCCTCAGTCTCTCTAATTTCCTGCCACACGACAAAACGATGACAAAAACAAAGCCACAAATCACAAAAGATTCACCATCAGACGATGTTCTATTCATCTTCGACTCCCCCCTTTGCAGTCCTCTTTGGTCCCCCCCCTTTTCGTGACTCCACCAGAGCTGGCAAAGCTTCTATTCCTTTGCCATTTTGGACACATTTCCATCTCCAATTTCAATCAAATATTCCCTGCGATCTTGCCAGAGTGGAGTGCCAGAGGGGGAGGGGTGGCCTGGGGGAGGGGAGGAGTTATGTTTTAATCAAAAATATAAAACTGTTGCCTACTTTTTGCAGTACTTCTCGAATCTCCAGAAGCCGTTGCCCGGCTTTTGTCTACGAGTGGAGCCCACCCCCTCCCCCACCCCTCTGTGTGGCGGCACACCTTTTGGGGACAACTTTTTCAATTGAATTTCTTTTTCTCCAAGAGACAATAAATGCTAAATGCTGTACGTGACACACACACACACACAGAGACGGATACATGGGGCAGAGTCGGGGACACCTTTTCTGGCCTTAAAAATTCTGTCATGCGTTGAAAGAAAAACACAGTCAGGGGGCGCTGTCTTCTTTATGGTACGTCAATTTCCTCGGGATGAGTTTTCCTTCCATTTATGGTCCTCCGCCTCCACCTTCAAGAGCAAACATCAACATCAACAGCAGGAGACTGGAGACAGGAGACAGAAGACAGGAGACAGGAGGCTCCAATCCTCCACTCCTCCACTCTCTTCTTGCCACTCGTGTGTCAAGTTGTGGCAAAGTCAACCGCACCCGCACCCGCACCTTCATCATCATCATCATCATTGTTCTCCTCCAGCCCAGCCCAGCCCAGCCCAGCCTCCCCTGCCCCTCCTGCCCCTCCCCCTGCCCTGTTCATTGTCGTCAGCAAACATTTTCGTAACAGTGTTTCTGGCTCCTTCCACCTGGCTCCTTCCACCTGGCTCCTTCCACCTGGCCCCTGGCTCCGTCAGGGATCCACGTATCCCCATATCAGAAATTACTTTAAAAACAGGGCTAATTTTTCAAAATAAATTATGCACATGTGCAGCAGCCAGCAGCCAGAAGCCAGAAGCCAGCTGCTGTCCAGAGGGATATCCTGTGACAGCAAAGGGAGCGACAGAGAGAGAGAGAGAGAAAACTCATTAAATTGCATAATTATGTGTACACACACACGTACACGTAGCCCTCTATGGGTTCTGGCCACAAATATTAATATTAATAACATAAAACACTCGCACGGCGAAACTTTCGGTCAAGGGTTAGCCGTGGCCGGCCTCCGGGTTCCGGCTTCCCGGGCCAGTCCCTTGACTGCACTTGAAGGCATTTCCGGGCCTTCTCCAGCTCCTTGGGTCATCATATTTTTGATTTATGATGCGCTGGCCCCGGCCCGTGCCCTTTTTACTCACTTGCCAACGGCGAGACGCAGCCCGAAATCGTAGCACACTTTTGCGGGCAGGCCAAGGAGGCGCGCCTGGAGTGCCACATTAATTTGTGTCAAATAAGTGAAACGCAATTAAACGCACATGTCAGCGCATGGCAAATGGCCAATAGCCAATAGCCAGGCGGGGACGGGGCGGGGGCGGGGGCGGGGTCGGGGGCACAACAATCGATACACAAACAAAAGCTCCAGCAGCAGATGAGAATTGGCCAGTGGAATCCCTTAATATGATGGCCCATTAAAACGACTCGATGCCACAACAATGCCCGTGCGGGGCATGCGGCATGCGGCAGAGAGACCCAACAACAAATACCCAATATTTCCTCTTGTATTGTAGTTCTCGTTATAGCATCTTTTCTCCCGCTCCCCCCGCTGCCCCCGCCCCTCTATTGAATGGTAAAATGATATTCCTGTCTTCCATGATAAAGCAATTATTGGGGCCTCCCCGGGACGGGGGGGCGGCGGAGAGGGGGCGCTATAGGTGCGTGTGTGTCGGGGAAAACTTCGTCTTGATTTCCGTTTGATTGTGTCACACACACACACACACACGCACACGAAATTGTTGGGGAAGAACCCCTTAAGGGCCTGGGAAATAGTTGCAGGGAAATCCCCCAATTTAATTTCCAATTACTTTGGCTTATGGAGTGGATTTGCATACGTGTGTGCGTGCGTGTGTGTGTGGGAGGGGGAGGGGGGGGGATACGAGATGGTATTCCATTTAATAACTAAAACTAAACTATGGGATTAATAAATAAATAATGGCCAGAGTAAATTATACACAGAAATGGAAAATGGCTGTCA